ACTGACTTTCAGGACACTTGTATTGATAGGGTAACCACAAATTTCTTGATAGTAAAGAGAAGAACTAGAATTGATTTTTCAAGTGTATTATATAAATAAATTCTATAAGCAAAAACAATATGAAGGAGACAAATTGTTAGATGAGAAAGTGAGGGGAAAATGTGAAAATAAATTGAGAGAGATGGAAAGACAGGTAGAGACAGATATATATAAAACATATCTATATGTAGATATGTCAATATCTATAAAAGAATATTATGAAATATCTCATACCATATATTATGTAGCCCTTCTTACCTAAGAGTTATAATCTCAACTGAATTTATCATTGTTTTCATTGACACATTGTTACCTATAAATGGGCAGGCTTACTCACTTCAACCAAAAGGGGCTTGATGATTGTGTCTTTCTTTCCATATTGAGGGACCACAGCCACCTCAGTCCCACACAGTTCTTGAGACTCCAGTGCCTCTGCGTTCACGGTGAAATTCACAGTCCCTGAAAGAAGGGCCAGTAGACATGAGCCCGACCTCCCCTTTCTTCCATCCTCTAAACCCCGAGATTTAGAAATGTTCCGTACCCGCCCCCACCCCTTTCTGTTGTGTTTTAAAAACATAGGAGCAGGAATAGAAGCAGCTCAAGCTAGAGAATAATGATACTGAGCATCTGAGGTGGAAATGGAGGTGAGGGAAGTAAAAATATCCTTCTAGACCTCCTAGAATAAAAGACAAAGAAAAAAATCCTACCATCTGGGGAGGTACTTTGCCTGAGGGAAGTAGAACTAGATATAAGAATCCCACTGACATACAATCTTTGAGTAGGATTGAGTAGTTTTAGGAATCTGTCCGTCACCTAATTTCTTTGGAGTTACTGCCCAGGACACGGTTTGTCGTCCATTCCCACAGATGCAGGGAGAGTCTTGTTCCTTCTCCCCTGGGACAGCCAGGAATGCAGGAGAGGCTTCTAGGTGCACCCTGACCTGAAATCACATGTGAGACAGAGACGAGATCAGAGGAAGAAGGGGACCAAAGAAGAATGGGGTGAAATAAAGCATTTTGGAGAGTGGTTAGATTTCAGGTTGCCTAATATTGAAGACCTTATAGGTAGAATTGAACTTGAAATATTCGTATTTTGGTATAACCTGCTCTTTCATGTGGTGAAACCAGAGGCAAGGAAAAGTCATGATGACATGTGCTGGTGGGAGCTCTACTTCTTTTGCCTGAAATCTTGACCATTCTCTCAGCTTTCCCAGCAGAGTACACGAGATTGGTAAACAGTTATGATTTCAGTGGATATAAGATGCTCACAAATAATTTTAAATTAATGACACATGAAAAGTTAAATATATGGGAATGTAGAGATTGAAACCTTGAAGAATCTAAGACATGTAAATGACGCCTATTGATTTTTGATGTCCATATCAGAAATCTTCATACGACACAAACTTCCTAACCTTAGAAGATTGTGATGAGTTAGAAACTTGAGACAACATGGATGGACTTTCCGAATAGGATGCGAAGTGAAATGTCAGTCACAAAAAGCTAAGAACCATATAATCTCACCCATATGTGCGATATAAAATTAAAAATCAAGACACAGACAATAGTATGGTAGTTACTAGAGGTAAGAGAGTGGGGGTAGTAAAGGGAGCCAAATATATGGTGATGGAAGATGATTTGACTTTGGATGGTGGGCACACAATGCAATATACAGATCATGTATCTTAGAAATGTACACTTGAAATCTATGAAATAGTGTTAACCAATGTCACCCCAGTAAATGTAATTTAAAAATATTAGAATGGAAATAAAAGGGACTCAGAAACTTGTTTCAAGTTGCAATCTGGTATTTGCAGATGTCAGCAACTATAGTTATGAATATGCATATGAATATCTAATAGTACTCTTCTTCTGATAAGCACATTTTCCACACAGGAGTTTGATAGTATTCCTAGGAATGCAATTTTAATTTAATTAACCTTGTGTTCAATTTAGGAAAGCGAGGTCCTTACCCAGATGCAATTGGGAAGGTAGTTTAGGACAGTAGCCTTGAGTGTGAAGGCCTCTCCACGGATCACAGAGTAGGGCATTGTGAGTTCCACAAAGAAAGGCTGGAAGGCTTGGAGAGTGGTGGGAAGAGAGAGGCCAATTCCAGTATCATCGGACAGGCAGAAGGCCCCTGCCTTCCACTCAGTGATGGTGTCAGGGACTCTTACTCCTACTTCAGCCACGCCTGATGAGCTGGGGAGGATGGCAATGTGAAGAACAGAAAGTAAGCAGTTAAATAAATCCTTTCTAGGAACCCCTATAAATGATTCTATTGTCATGATTTGGATGCACTCAGAAGAAATACTAATAATGAAGAGTATAAGCAAGGCTTAAATATAGAGTCATATAGCTCCTTTTCTTTTAAATCTGATCATTTTAAAGTCTAGTCTATATTAGAATCTCCTATAGACATATAGTTGTAGTATAATCTATTATAGACGATCCTATATAATCCTATATAATCGAAGCATAATATGCAAATAGACTGAACGGCCGAACAGAGAAACGACCATCCGGAGGACTACCCGGGACCATGCTATGACACCCATTTGCACCAGGCCAGCCAAGGCGGGTGCGATTCGATTGGTCGGGGCTTGGCCATTGCCCAATGATCGCCCAGCAGAGGGAGGCCCAGGTCACTGACCTGGGGGATGTGGCGGGTGGGCGGGGCCTCTCTCTGTGAGGGAAGCCCAGGTCCTGGGTGCCAGAGGGAAGCCGGTGCCAGCAGCCAGGGGAAAGAAGGCCTTCTCTTGCACAAATTTTGTGCATCAGGCCTCTAGTATAGTTATAAACTAAATATGTAATTTGAGATTGTTCTTAAATTTTGATCTCTAAACTATTGTTCCACTTGAGGGCAAGTTTATAATTTTCAATTCTACCACTATTGTGTATAGTTTGCCTTACTGATTCTGTTCTTAATTCAAGAATGCTGATCAATGAAGGGTCTCTCTAAAGTGTTAATCTATGCAGTGCTTGGTTTTATTTAGTCTTCATGCCTGTTTTTTGGACATTTTTGAATTAAATTTGTGCAAAATTTCTTAGCTCTGATGCAATTTATTAGTGAGGTGTCATAGCAGCAGTAGTTATGTCCAATTTCTCCTAAAAACAGCAATGTGTCCAAAATTAAAAATTATGAGGAATATCTACTGTTGTATCTTATATATAAAGGAAGTTACTTACTCTACTACCACCAAGTCCCAGATCCACGTCTCAGGAAAGTATTTTCTCACGGTCTCTGTGACAGGCTCTGGGACAGGCCCTGAAGCACCTAGTACATAATTACTGCTGCCTCTCATTGACATTGTTTCTATGGTGGGTGAGGGAGGAGACAAAAACAATAAATATAAAGCTCAAGCTTATAAGAGACTGTGATAAGTGCTACAAGAGAAATAAACAAGGTGATGAAATAGGAACCAGGAGATGACACTTGGGTGTTAAGGAAAAGCTTCTTTGAGAAGGTAATGTTTTAGCTGAATTCTTAACTTTTGAAATAAGCTAGGAGTGAGGTGGGGGAAGAGAATCACAAACAGAGAATATAGAGACAGAGGCAGAAAGAGCCTAGGATTGTCGGTGGGGCACAAAGGAGTCCTCTGTGGCTACTGCACATTGTGCAAGTGAAGATTTCTATGACATGGGGGCGGGAGGAGGGAGGAATCAAAATTTCCATTTGGTATGTTTCTCTGTGGGAGAAAAGAGAAATCATATCCAGACATCATGGCAGGGGCTTTGTGGAACAGTTCATGGGAGTGAAAGGATAAAGGGTTACAAAAAGAGTACCTGGGTTGCAGATTAGATCCCGGCCCTGGTGGGGAGACGTGCGGGAAGCAACCGATCTATGTGTCTCTCTCACATCTCTTTCTCTCTCCCCTTCCACCCTCTCTAAAAATCAATGAAAAAAATATTTTCACTCCTC